GGATCTGCTTTGCAGTAAACTCACGTTCAGAAGCATGACAACCCTCTCCGGAGAGTTCCTCTTCCTGCTCTACTTACAGAGGTGTTTGTTCATATTTCCTACCAGTCATGGAACCTCAAAAGGTTATATAATCCTGCCTTGTGCATCAGGAAGGCCTATCTCTACCACCCCAACAAAATTTGTGAATTCCCTTTGTTAGATGTCTAATCATTGGAAGTATTGAACTTTTAAAACTTGGAGTGGAAAACCTATAAAAAAGCAAGATGAAAAATCAAGTGACGTGGCTCTCTCATCTGTTTACACCTCTTGGGAAAGGTCATTGAAGCACTTAGGATTTTGGCTTTCTTATCTAAAATATGGTTAATAGTAATTTCCTACCTACCTCACTGGGTTATTGTGGTGACCAAATAGACCCTTATTAGATAGATGAGACGGTACTTAAAAACAAAACTCTATGAAAGCACAGTGAGTTCCCTGATTAATTTGTGTTTAATTTCTTTCATCAGCCAAGATATCTATTTCTAGGAAATTGGGGAAACAGTAGCTTTGCCAGACTTCGTTTGGCTTGCAGTAAGTGGTGTGAGCAGGAGACCAGAGAGCCTCGGGGTCTACCAGACAGACCAGCATTGCCCGGTTCACGCTTCCCACGCTCAGCAGCTCTTGCGGGCAAGGTGCTACATCCACGTAGGGAAGTAGTGAGGCAGGCTGAGCAGGAAACTCTATGGATCTGGAGATAAAATAGGGAACTTCTAAGACTGTATTCTGTAGTTTGGTCGTTCGCTGTTAAAAAAAATCAATGATTTACCTACACTTCTCTAATTTGAAGGTCGTGTTTGTATTGTGCGTACGAGGAGTGTGTGTGTGTGCGTTCTCATTTATTTTGTTTATTGGGCAAGAGCTGGGGTAGGGGAATGTAGATAGACTCCTTAGTATGTTGAGTTTTATCCCAAATAATTCACCCTTACTTATCAGGTAGCAATTATTTTTAGATGTGTGCTCGTGGATAATTGGCCCAGTATTATTTAGAACAGAACCTCACAGTCTGTGGTGTGAACAGAACCTACGCGTGACTGTTCTCTTAAAGCAAGTTGAAGCAAGGCTGTGCAGGGCTGAGTAGGTCTGAGGCTGTCAGAACCTCTCACACCCAGGGCAGACCAGCTTTTTCCCCGTGGGATTGTAGTCCTGCCCTGCATGTCCCTCTTACAGGCTCCGGGCACACTGACTGAGGGTGTGACTGTCATTGGGCTCATTCCCTTCCGTGAGTGAGCCACTTAGACCAGACCCTGGGTTCGTGTTGGGATCCAGGTGCTGGCATTCTGCTACTAAGGCAAGACTATAGAATGAAGTGGGCCTGCAGCCAGTGCAGGCCTCTTACCCACTCCCCGTAGTCCAGCCCCGGGGACCCTCCTGGTGGGAGTGGGGTCTGCAGGAGAGGTCTTCGCATGTCTGCCCATGCGCAGCAGAGGCGCCTGCACCAGGACCCCGGGGGGAACCCACCTCTTGGGCACCACTGAGGAAAGCTCAGATGTGCGCTCGCTGCAGGCAGGTGCCCGAGAGAACTCAAATGGACTGGGCGGTGGGCGCCCAGCACCTCTGCTCTGTCTCACCAAGCAGAGAAGTCATGCCTCACTCCTTGGGGAGGAGGTTGAGGGCAAGGAAGAAGAGCAAATGGCTTTTTACCAGTCCTTACAATAGCAGAAGTTCCTATTTAATGAGTCAAGATAGGAATGCTTACGGAAGGAGAAGGTGTTTCTGTCTGCGTCATCTACCGTGAAATAGCAGTCTTTCCTATTGCCTCTGTCTCCAAATCCCACATCCAGGAGTAATTGTTTGCCATTGCCTGTCCCTGCACAGTGGTTGGACCGGAGCTGCACAGAGCATGCACTTGACATTCTAGGGAGTAAGTGACGTGTTTTGATCACCTCGGTGCATTAGACCAGGTCCTTTAAGACACTCTGCTGGTGGTTATAGCAGCAGTATGGCCCTAGACGACAGCGTGGAAGGAGAGTGTTGCCAAGCAGAAGATCCCCTGCTGTACGGTAGTACAGGCTGTTTGGGCCTAAATGCAGGTTTTTGCAGCTGACTGGAAAACGATGCTTAATGGAGCGCTGTCATCATGAGGTAGCAGGGCTTGTGGTTTCCCCCGTTTTATTTCTTCCTCCTGCTTTTGGTTCGTTCTTGCCTGTGAGGATAATTCGGATTTTTATTTTATATGTTTCACTAACACCCGATATCTAACAGCTGTTGTGTGCTTACTCTGTACCAGGTCTAAAATGAACATCTGCGGATTGTGGTGACCCCAAGCCCTGGCTTAGCCACCATCGCGACACAGGGAGTAGGGCCAAGTTGGAAGAAGTGGAGTCAGGGAGTCGTGGGCACAGACTGCAGTTCCGCGGCTTACTTAACCTCTCTAAGCCCGCTTCCTCCTCCATAAAGTGACCCTAATAATAGTACCTGTGTCATACCAGTTTTTGACAACTAAAAGAGACATACACGTATACACACATACATACACAAATACACTTAGCAGCACGGGGGCTGGTGTGCAGACAGCCCTCAGGAAGCGTGGACACAGTTTTGGAGGGTGCTAGAGGGAGCGTGAGCTCCAGATCACTGGGGGAGGGATCCAGGTGCGACCCTGGCTGTCTGAACACAGAAGGCTCTGATGATTCCCTCTCAAGCCAGGGCTCTCAGGAGACTCATAGGCGGGCCTCGGGGGGCGTGGGGATTAGGACACTGCCCCTCAACCAGAGCAGCACCACTTTTACCTGCTTTATACAGATAGAAGGGGCGTGGGGGGGGCGCTATATGTATGTCTCACCTCAGTGGTTCTCAGCTGGGGGTGATCTTGCCCCTGCAGGGACATTTGACAATGTCTGCAGACATTTTTGATTGTCACAACCTGGGGTGGGTTGCGGGGAGCGGCGATTGCTACTGGCATCTAGCGGGTTGAGGCCAGGGATGCTGCGAAACAGTGCACAGAATAGCTCCACAGCAAGGAATGATTCAGCACCAAATGTCATGGCAGGATTGAGAAACCCTGGTACATATGCATACGTATATTGAAGAAGCAAGAGGATTCTGTGCCTGGCTTTTATGTGGTTAGGGTCTAGGAAAAAAAGTAGAAAACCAAGGTTATATAGAAATGCCTGCTTGTCAAGAGGTCCCTCGGGAATGGTGGGGCCTGAGTTGGCTGAGCCCCAGGGCAGAGGGAGAACGGTCTGCAAAGAGGAGGCACCGTCCACGTGGACGAGGTGTCACGGGGGTTCTGTGTGGCTCCAGGCCTAACAGAATGGTGGCACAAGGGAAGTCGGTGTGGCGAGTATGAAGTGATTCTTTCTGGGGTCACAGTGGTCCAGCTATGGAGCAGACTGCCAGAGAGGGGTGGACAGACCACCATGGAAGTGGGATATGGACTGGTTCCATATCAGTAAAATGGTTGATGCTGAAATAGCTGAATTTTAAAAATTCAGATCATGTTCAGGTCGTATTCATGGGGTCATTGTGTGGCCCTCAGCCTGGCATTAACTGAGAAAACGTGTTCTCCTTGGCACCCGGAGCTGGGCTTTTACCATGAGAGCATCATTGGAAAACTGGCCTGCATCTTTTCCAGTCCACATACCACTTGAGGATTATTTTCCAGCTCAAGACCAAGTTTAATGTTGATCTGATTATATTTTTTCCTTACCACCAGGATCTGATTAGGAAACTCTTTGGGTCTCTGGTGAGAAATTGGCCTTTAATATTATGTTGAGTTGCCATTTTTATTGCTGTTTTTATAGATCAAAAATGGTTGAACATTAGCACTTTCATATGGTTCAGCCTGCTACAGGGCTGAGAGTGACAGTGTGTAATGCACGAACAGGTTACTTTATGCTCTTCTAGAAGTACTCTGTACAAATGTCACACCCCTGTGCGAACTTTGGGTGCACTCGGCAACTAAAGCTAGGCTGTTATCTACATCACCAGCAGCCAGTGGTCACCAGGAGCCAGGCCTAGGCCAGCACACCTGTAATGGACCTTCTTGCAACAGATGCAGAGGGAAATAAGCCGGACACAAAAGGGCAAATACTGTATGATTCCACTTCTATGAGGTACGCGGAATTGTCAAATTCCTGGAGACAGAAAGTGGAAAGGTGGTTGCCAGGGGCTGGGGAGAGGCGGGAGTATGGAGTTAGCGTTTAAAGAGTACAGAGTTCTGGAGATGGACGATGGGGATGGTTGTACCACAGTGTGAATGTACTTAATGCCACTGAACTGTACACTTCAAAGTGGTTAAGATGGTAAAGTTCATGTTGTTTGTATTTTGCCATAATAGAAAAAAATGGGAGCAGGGTCGTTCGTTGCCATATGCTGAAGCCAGATGCAACCCTGGTGCTCCTCTAAAAAGAGGAGGTAGGAAAATACCTAACACTTTATTCTTATGTTGTCGTCAAACTTAAGTGAAATTCAGACATGACATCATTGGCTGGGCTTCCTAAAACATTGTCCCTTCCACCGGGGACATGTTCTAGATACCATATGTTCCTGTTAGGGTGATAATACTTCAGGGACTTCTTATTTATTTATTTATTTATTTATTTTTGGCTGCGTTGGGTCTTCGTTGCTGCGCGCAGGCTTTTTCTAGTTGCGGCGAGCGGGCGCTACTCTTCGTTGTGGTGCGCGGGCTTCTTGTTGCGGTGGCTTCTCTTGTTGCAGAGCACGGGCTCTAGGTGCGTGGGCTTCAGTAGTTGTGGCGCGTGGGCTTAGTTGCTCCGCAGCATGTGGGATCTTCCCGGACCAGGGCTTGAACCTGTGTCCCCTGCATTGGCAGGCGGATTCTTATCCACTGCACCACCAGCGAAGTCCTACTTCAGGGACTTCTGAGTGTGTGCTCCGCCTTACATTTGTTCGCCCTGAAGGATGAAATTGTTCAACTTTTTGGAACCAGGTGTCTTTGGAACAGAGGGTTCTGTGGTCAGGCCCGGTGATCATCTTCTGGCGTGGTTTTGGTTTTCCAGGGCAACTTCAAAAGCATATCCGCAGTCTCCAAAGAACGTGAAGCCGCCATACCCAGGGTCTCCGGTGAAGTACCGCCTCCCCGCCTTTTCCGGCCAGGAAACACCCAAGAAGAAAGCAGAGAAAGAGAAGAGCAACAAGGAAAGGGAGGGCGCCCTGGCTCAGCAGGCAGCCGGCCCACCTGGGGAAGAGGCCCCAGAGAAGCACGTGGCAGACAGGCATGCCACCGAGAAGCATGAGGCCGCGGCAGGGAAGGCCGAGGGCGGTGGAGGTAGGCCCTCCTCGCCCAGCCGGTTCTCCCTCTGACTCCATGCACGCGGGAGTCTCGGGTTTGGGGGAGAGACGGGGATTTTTCCCGGAGACAACTCCATGCCCTCGTGCCACTTTCTCAGGCTTGCATGTTGCCCTGAGTCCTTCCCCTCGCTCTCCGGAGGGTCTCCTGGCAGAGGAGGCTGAGGGGCTGACGCTGCTCCTAGCTGTGGAAGCCCACGGGGGTGCTCAGCTGCATCCAGCCAGCATCTGCCTTTCCCACAGAGAGGGTCTTCCTTTAGTCCTTGAAGCTTCCGTGACAGCTGCGGTGAGTTCATCCAGATAGGCGCAGCGGTGGTGGCTGCCTTGGGACTTGCTGGTGACCCTGTCTCTCCTCGTCGCCTCTCCACTGCCCTCCATGGTGGAATGCATCCAGGGTCACAGCCAGCCTGTTGCAGCCTCTCTGCTTGGTAGCTGATTGTGCTGGTCTTGGCAGCATTTCCCATCACCCACTGGGTTGGATTTTTCAATTCCAAGTGGTAGCTGCCGTGTGAGTGCAGTCACTGTTTCATTTCCCTTGATCTTTTCCTCCAATGCAGCCTCGTGGAAGCCCACAGCGGGCACCACTGATGCAGGAGAGGCCACAAAGATGCTGGCCGAAAAGAGACGACAGGCCCGGCTGCAGAAGGAACAGGAGCAGCAAGAACGTCTGGAGAAGGAAGAGCAAGACAGGTATGGGGGTGCTCAGGCCTTCTGAGACCGCGGAAACTCTCAGCTCCTGGATATCGGTGTTACCGACAGCCCCTGTTCTCGGCATACACTCTAGGACCAGCCAGGCCTCGTAGAGCTATCAAAGGAGTTTGAGTTTTGTTTATAGACTGACGTTCTCCCTGAAAAGACAGGAGGTTCCGGATGTAGACATCTTGATTCTGCTTCCTGAATCGTGTTTTTTTTCCCCCAAATTATTCTAACTCTCACCCCCAGGTAAGAGAAAGGAGGGTTGAGCAGAGGCTCCTAGCTGGGGCCGAAGCTGACCTCATAGGCCATGAGACACGAGGTACGGGGACTCCCATCCTGGAGCACGAAAGAAGATGTCATGGCAGTGGTCCCTAAACTTTGGAGGGTGTCAGAGTCAGTCAGGGGTCGCGGTGAAAATACACAGGCCCAGGCCGTGTCCCGCTTCAGTAGCTCACCAGACTTTGAGAACCACTGCATTGACCCCTGGGGCACTTGGTCAAAATACAGACGGTTCTGCCTATTCTGGTCTTAGTATTCAGAGAGAAATGCATGTTGAAGGGCAAGGTAGATTTTATCATTAAATTGATAAAGGAAGCTCTTAGGATAATCACAGAGTACAGTCCAGTACTGTTGAGAGGATTTAACGTGACAGGGAGCCAGCCACGTTGCCGTGTTTCACTCAGCTACGGCGCTGAGTTTAATCAGTAATAGAATATTCTTCATCCTTAAGTGACCTTGGCAAGTCTTTTGTGGTCCGTCATTACACTTCTGCTGATTTATTTCTTTGAAGGAGGAGGGGGGAGGTCTGGCTGGTTCCTTCTTCGAACTCTGGACTTCTCTGATGATTTTCCCACCTCCAGCCTTTTGGTCAACAGCAGCAGGTCTTTTTACTGAGTGGTGTGCTTGGGCTGGGTTGGGTGGGCCGCAGGATGTGTGAAGGGAGGTCCCAGGAGAGGAGGATGAGTCGCAGGACCTCAGGGACAGGGCTTGGGATGCGCGGGCCCTGAGCAGGTGAGTCGCGTGCCTGTAGCTTGTGCTAAGGAAGGTGCAGCTCCCTGCCTTCCAGCCAGCACCCTCTCCCGTTTCCTTCACAGCGCAGCTCCTCAAAGAACTGACTGTACTGCCTGTCTCTATTTCCTCTACTCACACTCAGCCTGCAGACCTCACACTCACAATTCCTCCTAATTGCCGGACTCCTAATCCATTTCTTGGTTGGCTTTGACCGTGTCGCGCTTGCCCTTGCTTCTCTGGCCTCTCCTTCTCAGTCTCCTCTGTCTCCCGCTCAGCCCCTCACGCATCACCTGGGCTCCCAGCCCTCAGTCCTTGGCCAGCTTCACCTGACAAGCCCTTCCCGAGCAGCGCTGCGCCCCCCTGCCCGGCCCGTGCCCGCATCGCGCTGCCAGCTTCCTCTGGCTTCAGAAGTTTGGGGCTCGCATTTCACACAGCGTCCTCATGCTCAGCATTTGGGGTGCTAACCCAACTCTGCTCTCATCTCCCTTTCTCATCTGTTTTACCATCTATTTCTGAAGCCAATTTCATCTTGCTCTGTAAACCTTCAATACTTTCTGGTACAGGGGAGGCATTAGATCACACATGGGTACTGATGCCTCCTGAGCCTGTGCTGTCCAGTACCACCGCCTCTAGTCTCAGGCGGCCACCGAAATGGAAATATACTAAGATCAAGTCCAATTCAGTTCCCCAGCCGTATGGCCACATTTCAAGTGCTCAGTAGCTACATGGCTAGTGGCTACCATATCGGACTACACAAATCTCTAGAACGTCTCCCTCATCACAGAAAGGTCTGTTGGCTAGCACTGGTCTAGAACCTGCAGGCAGTATTACCAACTGCTTTATGCTTTCCTTTAAGTGTGTCCCACACGCATCTCAAATTGAGCATTTCCAAAGCAGACCTTACTGTCTTTCTCACAGACTTCCTTTTCCTTTCACAAGCTCAGTCCTCCATGTCTCCAGGCAACCAGATCAGATGTGTCCGAGCCAGCTCTCAACTTCCCCTCTCCTTCCTCGTCAGTGTCCCGTCCCCTGTCAGGTCTGTCTCGGCCGCCTCTAGCATCTCTCTCGTCTCCCTTCCCCTCCAGCCCCTCCTCCCCTCCTGAGCTCTGGCCCCTGTGGTCTCCGACCTGGACTGTGTGTGTGGCATCCGCACTGAGCTCCCCGCTCTAGGTCTCCCGGAGCTCATCCACTGTCCACGCTGTGTCCCCAGTGCCTGTTCTCAAATAAGCGTCATTGTCCTGCTCCTGTCCTTTAACAAGCCGGTGACTCCTCTGCCCACAGGAGGCCTGCCACGGCCTGAGCACCCCTGTCTCCTGCAGGTCCACACCTCCTCATCTGCTTTCACGCTGCCTCCCGTGGCCTCGAGCTCCTTGTCAGCAGACACATTTTCCATTGTCCGACTCGGGTCAAGCACTGCTCCCTGTCTGCAAGCCTTTCCAGCCCTGCCCCTGGGAGAGAACAGACCTCTCCCCCTCTTCGCCCGCCCAGCCCGGCTGGTCGGCTGGTCGGCTGATCACAGAGCCTCCTCATTTGTTCACAGGCCTACTTCCCCCAACTAAGCACCTTGGCCGGGGTACAGTCTTTGGATCACTGGTGCTGGCGCTCAGTAAACATACAGGAAAGGTAGAGAAGTAGGAAGAGGCCCAGATGAGAAGCCATTGCAATCGTGGGTTAAGAGAAGGCAGTGCAGTGTGGTGGAGCCCGAGCTGGAGGAGTGAAGGCGGGTTCCACAGAAATGGGCCCATTCAAAGTCGACGCCAAGGTTTGATTCTAAGCATAGGAGAATGGTACACCCAATGACAGATAAAGGAAGGACAGAAGGAATTGATTTTAGAGGGTAAAAACAAGCCATTTGATTGTAGATAAACTAAGTTTAAGGTGCCTGCAAGATATCCAGGTGATTAGAAATGGAATTGAAGCCTGGGGCCTAGGTAAAAATGAGAGCAATACCCTTGACCCAAAATCAGTTTTCCTCTCTCTTGCCAGAATATGAAGCTTTGCTAGCACCACGTGGGAGGTGAGAAAGTACAGTACCACACAACCAGGGCCTGGAACACAGCGGACACCTCTTGGGATAAGATCATCCTCACTCCTGTTTTGTGCTTAAGAGTCAGTAGTTGAAGCCACACAAATGTAGTTGCCAGATGAGAGAATATAGAGAAAATAAAGATACTTGAGCCAAACCGTGGAAAGCCAATCACTGTCACAAACTGGTGAGGAAAATGCCATCCAAGTCAGGGATGAGACTGCTCAGAGCAGAAGGGCTGACAAGGTGCCCAGACAGCTGGGCCCGGAAGAAGAGCAAACGCTGGTCCAGTCCCCGCTAGCAGTGACCCTGGGGCTCTCCTGGAAGCATGCAGAACAGGGCACAGTGCCTGGGCTCGTGGATGGCCCAAGATAGAAATCAGGATTCTTGGAGCAAGAAACCCTAGACCCTGGGTCCGCCCCGGGGAAGGCACTGGCAGAAACTAGAAGCAAAGAGATCTTACTGGGATTCCAAAATGAGTCACGTTAAGAAGTTAAGATAGCTGCTGTGGGCCCAAGTGGAAAGATAGTTGAGTTAGGCACCCTCCATCAGCAGGGTCACATAGCCAGGCTGCAGCAGCTCAGTGTCTGTGCAAGATTTGGCCTGGGCCCGGCCCTGCCGGCAGAGGTCCTGGCGCCGCTCAGCCCTGGCAGCTCGTCGGTTGAGCCTCTGGGTGGTGGACTGTCGGGGTAAGAGCTGGGCAGGCAGGGCCCGTCCGGTGCGGGGGGTGGCGGCCGAGTCAGGAAGGGAGAGCCAGGCCCTCACAGGAGGGAAGTCGCATGCCGCCTGCACCTGCGAGACGTGTCGAGGCTGAGGAAAGGCCGTTGGTCTTGGGGTTTAGGACATGAATGGAGGTTTGGGGGAAATCATGGAGAGGGGAGGAGACATAAGCAGCTTGACAGAGGTGAGATGGCAGAGGCCCTGAGCATCAGCAGAATGCAGGGGAGAGGGGACAGAGGAGAGTTGCTTGGGATGCCTGAGGCCTGAGTGTTTTGCAGGCCGTGGGAAGGTCCGTGTAGAAGGGCAAAGCGATGGAAGGAAGAGAGGGGGACGGTGGAAGGAACTCTGGTGCGGGGCTATGTGTGGAATTAATAGTGTGGTTGGTAAAGCAATTATACCCCAATAAAGATGTTTAAAAAAAAAATAGTGTGGTTGGTGGCATTTATAATCCTTTGCATCTAAGCAGAAAAAAGGGGGCATTTTCTGAGCAGGAATGCTGTAGAGGAGTGAAGTTTAGGAAGCCCAGATCAGGTGGCCCCGGTCTTCTCTGTAAAGTGGTTGATGATGCCATCGACTAAAGAGGATGTGGAAGACGGTGGAAAAGTGGAGGTTTGGACTGTTCCCCTGGGGGTCTGGGAGATGAGGATGGATGGCTGGCGTGGCGGCTGAGGTCCAGGGAAAGATGACCAGTCGGCCTTGTCTGGGCCTTACTTCAACCAGTGTTGACAACACAGGAGGGCCCAGAGTGGCCTCCATGCCATCCCACAGATGCTCAGTGGCTGGGCAGCCTGGGCGCCCTGAGAGAAGAGGGAGCGGATGCAGGGACAGCACATAGCTGCCTGGGGCCGGTCAGGAGAGAAGGCGGCGAGGGACGGGTGAGGGCAGATCAAAGAAGGGGAAGGTTAGGACATTGAAGGTTAAGCTTTTTTAAATGAAAACTTTTAAGCACGTAAGGAAGGGAGAAAGTAAAACCCACATACTCATCCGGAGATTGAATGAGTCGAGACTGAACATGTGTCAGGGACATGGTGCAAATGTGAGAGGGTGGGACGAGAGGGGGCCGGCGTCTGGAGCTTGAGAGATGGGGGTCGTTACACAGAAGACCCTCACCGGTGGCTGGGAACGGGGATGAGGAATGCATCCACTGAATGATGACTACCGTGCACAGTTTTCTGGTACTTTCTACCTGGTGAGGAAGGGGGGTAGGTTTGGGGTGGGTGGCAGGAGCAAGGACGGGCGGGGGTGACAGAAGTACACATGGGTCTGGTGAGCTCCGGAGGGAGCCGGTAATGACGGCAAGGGCAGTGGGGTCGGGCTGCCTGCAGCAGAGGGGCGCTGGGGAAATGACACTGCCATGTCCTCTCTGGTTCGTTAAGCAGGGAGAGAAAGAATGTTTATTCTTGGAGAGGATTTTGAGAGACTTGGTTTCACACAGGGAAAGCTAGTTTTTAGCTACTTTGGGGGAAGCAGAGTGTGGTTAAATGGAGGGAATTTTGTCTGTAGGGGCTTACGGGCCTGTGGGGAGGAATTTATGTTGTGGGTGATGACGGGGATTATGGAGACCTAGGGGCTAGGAGGATGTGTTACTGCATGGCTATGCATCGAGCACCTCTGAAGTCCTCATGGTAAAATGGAAGAAACCGAGTGGCTTTTCAGATCCTAAGGATGAAGTAGCTTGTGGGTTAATTTATATACGTATCCTTTGTGTATTAACTTCTCTAAGACAGTCACAACTGGCTCCTTAAAAGAGAGAGAAATACTAAAACAGTGCTCTGATTAACCTTGGGAGAAGTTTTGTTATTGACACATCCGGTTTTTATAATCCTGTGTTGGGCATCCTAGTCTTTCATTGAGGAATCTAAGAACTGGTGAGTTTCTTTCTGACTAGGCCCCATAATGCTCTTCTCCAAAGTTCTCCAGAATATTTGCTAGTAATTTCAGTTGTTCCAGCTTTTAGGCACTGCACCCTCTGTGAACATAGAATACATGGTCATGTCCCATTGTAGTTTTAGGCTAATGTCTTTGTGTATTTTTTTACCTTTTAAACTATTTCTTTGGTAGCACATAGGCTAATTGCCTCCGTGATTCCTAAAGCCAACCGTTAGGGTGGAAGGATGTTCTTTTCAAGTCTTGATCATTTATAACAATATACCAGCGCCCCAGTAAGTCAGTGGTACATGCTTCCAAATAAAGATAATTTCTGAAAAACATACACATTTACAGATGCGCTTAAAAGGACACTGGGAATTGAAGAGAGCGTTCATTTTAAATTGTAAAACAGACTAGCATTTGAGAATCTGCCCAGGACCAGGCATTGTGCTAAGTGCTTCCCATTATCTCATTTAATTCCCACAGTGATGTCGAGGAGCCAGTTATATAGCTATTCCCATTTTTTTAAAATGGGCATCAGAAATGTTGAGTGACTTTCCAAGGAAGGGTCACACAGCAAGTGGCACAATCAGAATGCAGTCTTGGTCTTGCCCATGTGGCACATTGCCAGTCAGTAACTCACTGCAAAATGAGTATAGTTATCCACATTTTTTCATAGAAGAGGAAAGTGACACACATGAGCAGGAAGAACGTTAGAAATGTAAAATCAAGCACTTAGACTTTACAGTTTTCCCTCACTGCTTAAGCTCTTTATCGTTACATCGCTGACCATTCATCTGTGGATGAAAAATGTCTAAACGCCATTTAATTTTCATTTAGCAAAGAATAAAAGCTAAAATTTTTTTTAAAGAATGCCAAGATAAATGGAAAATAGATGCTTTAATTCCTTAAATGTCAAGTTTCTGTTGAGCATTTTCTTCCATTTGCTGCTTCAGAAGTCACATACTAATTAAAACCAAAGTGAACTTTTTGAGCTCCTAGTCACTGCTCTCAAATTGCTGACTGGCACAGATGTGAGAGTCACTGAGACACTTCGAGGGTTTTTTTCTTTTTTTTTTTCTAGCCTAAGTTGTGTTTTTTTTTTAACATCTTTATTGGAGTATAATTGTTTTACAATGGTGTGTTAGTTTCTGCTGTATAACAAAGTGAATCAGCTATACCGTATACATATATCCCCTTATCCCCTCCCTCTTGCGTCTCCCTCCCACCGTCCCTATCCCACCCCTCTAGGTGGTCACAAAGCACCGAGCTGATCTCCCTGTGCTATGCAGCTGCTTCCCACTAACTATCTATTTTACATTTGGTAGTGCATTTAAGTTGGTTTTAAATATTCATCCTACTCAGTTTTTAAGGAATTCTCATTCAGTAAGAATGATGGGGGCTTCCCTGGTGGCGCAGTGGTTGAGAGTCCGCCTGCCGATGCAGGGGACACGGGTTCGTGCCCCGGTCCGGGAGGATCCCCCATGCCGCGGGGCGGCTGGGCCCGTGAGCCATGGCCGCTGAGCCTGCGCGTCCGGAGCCTGTACTCCACAACGGGAGAGGCCACAACAGTGAGACGCCCGCGTACCGCAAAAAAAAAAAAAGGACTGATGGGCCTGTGGTCATTTGTAAATTGGCTAGGGAACATCTGTGTCTTCATTACAGTCTATTCACAAATCAATACATTATTACTCTGGGCATCACAGAATTTAAAGTCCACTTTGCTTATTATTTTTTTTGGTAACGGTATGGACTGGAGTGGCTTTCTGAGAAGGATGTGAGTCATTTTCTTAAGTGGATGCTAACTCATATGCATGTGTCTGTGACAGTGTCAAGTGTTATGCTCTACTGTTGGCACACAGCTCTTGGTAGTTTACCTTTTGGGCACGTCGTCGTTGTCTCCTAACATCATTTATGTTCTCAAAAGGCTGGAGAGAGAGGAATTGCAAAGAAAGGCAGAGGGGGAAAGACTTCGCCTAGAAGAAGCAGCCCGTAAGCAGGAAGAGGAAAAGAAGCGGCAGGAGGAAGAAGAGAAAAGGAAGGCGGCAGAGGAGGCCAAGCGGAGGGCCAAGGAGGAGCTGCTGTTGAAAGAAGAGCAAGAAAAGGAAAAGCAAGAAAAAGAAAAGCAGGAAAAGGCCATGATTGAAAAGCAGGTACTGTGCAAATCTTTATATAGACTTTCCTTAAGGGCCTTAGTTAGTATTAGGTAAAATTATAGTTAAATTTGGATGACTCATAATGTTTACTTGGAGTTTTTCTTTAACTGGGCTAGTTAATAAATATGAGTTACTTTGGGCAACAGAAGTGAAGTTGGTAGTATTTGCTGTATGTCCGTTTGGGTTCCCCCGAAGGCAGACCCTGGATGAGAACTTGGGTGCCAGTAGTTTATTTGGGAGATGATCGCAGGAAGCTGGTAGGGGAGTGAGAGGAAAGCACATTGGTGAGTGGGTTACTGTGGGCAGCTGGAACTTGCTCACTATGGAACTCTCTGAGAGACTGTGGACCATGCCTTAGGATTATCCCCCTGAGTGGTGAGGAAACTAGGTTATTTGTCTTCCAAGTCCTGCCCCTTATGGTTGCAGGTCACTGAGGGGAAATTAACTTCCTGAAATTTCTAGCCACATGCATACTTAGGGCCAGAGACTACCCTCAGACACAAAAAGACCTTGACCTTGTACGCAGAATGTCTGCAGGTGATTTGCATGGTGGACCGAGGTCATATGAGTGAGACCCAACCATGTCTGCTGTGTCGTAGAGCAGGCTGTGTAAATCCACATTGAATATTGGAGCAGCACCCACTTTTCGGTAGATGATGAGGTGGAGGAATATAGGTGCAAACCCCAGGGAATTAACTAGCGTTTTCTTCAGCTTAGTAAAGCCTATCCCTTCTTTTACATGTTTCTACCAGAAGGAAGCAGCAGAAGCAAAGGCCCAGGAGGCAGCTAAACAGATGCGTCTAGAAAGAGAGCAGATCATGCTGCAGATTGAACAGGAGCGACTGGAGAGGAAGAAGGTAAGGGCTAAGGGATCAGGAGTACTTAGGGTGAGGCAGGGACAGGAAGTGAGTCCAGTTATGTTCTGCAGTTGTTGGGTACGGTGCTCTTAGAATTGTTATTTAGGTTGATTTCGTTGATCATACTGTTGTGTCTGTATTAGTTTTCTGTCATCTTGTTCTTTCATTTACTGAGAGAGGGGTATTGAAAGCTCCATCTGTGATTATGGATTTCTCCACTACTCCTTCCAGTTCTATACATTTTTGTTTTTATATACATAATTTGAAGCTCTACTGTTAGGTGGATTTATATTTCAAATTCTTAAATTTTCCCATTGAATTACCGTTTTATCATTATGAAACATCCTTCTTTTCTTTTGCGGTACGTGGGCCTCTCACTGTTGTGGCCTCTCCCATTGCGGAGCGCAGGCTCCAGACACGCAGGCTCAGCGGCCATGGCTCACGGGCCCAGCCGCTCTGTGGCACGTGGGATCTTCCCGGACCGGGGCACGAACCCATGTCCCCTGCATCGGCAGGCGGACTCTCAACCACTGCGCCACCAGGGAAGCCCTGAAACGTCCTTCTTTATCTCTAGTAATATTTCTTAAAGTCTACTTTGTCAGCCTTTTTGTGATTAGCACCTGCATGATAAATTTTTTCACTTTGAACCTATGTGTCCTTATAAATGTGCCTCTTATAAACAGCATATGGTCAGGATTTGTTATTTTCATCCAGTTTGACAGTTTTTGTCTTTTAATTGGGGTGTTTAGGCCATTTAATTACGGGTAAAGGGTTTAAGGAGGCTGATTATAAAGGTCCGTTCTCATGGTGTCCAATCTGTGGCCTCCCCTTCTGCACCGCAGCTTGGCTTTCTTTAGGGTGGTCCTCTTGAATGGCAGGTAGTGATGTGTTGCTTTCTAGGTAACTTAAGGAGAGGAAGGAGAAAGATGGGATATAAATTGTTGATTCTAGATACTTAACTGGTTCACTCCTTAAGCATTTGACCGTGTTCGTATGGCAGAGGTGTATGTCTGCAAAATCAATGGAAAAACCTTTCTATACACATTATCCTCTGCTGATGTTTCTTTTTTACACATTTTGTGAGGAATGTGAAATTGCATATAGACCCGGCTTACTTGTATATGTACCTGCTTCTTTTCGGTTCCCAGAGAATAGATGAAATTATGAAGAGAACAAGGAAGAGTGATGTGTCTCTGGAAGTGAAGGTAGGCATTCAGAGTACCATTTTCATAATTCATGTTCTGAGAAGAACAGAATGGTGGAATATATTCAGTGACATTGTAGGTCTCAGAGAGGATTAACCAGAAAAAAATAGGCTCTTCCTTGCTTTGTTCCTGGCTAGATTAAGGAGGCTGTAGGTCCCTGAAAGGAAAGAGGAGTCTAAGAGAGGGATTTCAGAGATGGGGTGTTAACAAAAAATGTCCTCAGGGAAATGGGGGTAGGGATGCAGGGAGAAGCATTATAGTCCACAGATCAAAAAAGAGAATGGTGGCATATTAATAAGGGAAACATAGCTGATTTGTAATAACCTCAGAAAATTCAAAGAATTACCGTGGAGCAGACAGTTGGCCCAGCATGGTTCCAAATATCCTCTGATACTTTTCAAAAGCACTTACCTTTCTACATAAAGCCAACCTTCCCTCTACTTGTTTTCAGAAAGAAGACCCGAAAGTGGAGCTTCAGCCTGCTGTGTGTGTGGAAAATAAGACAAAACCAGTCGTCCCCAACAAAATAGGTGAGCTTGAGGTCTGGTTCTTAGGTTCTTCCTTTCAGGAGGTGAGGGCTCATGGCACTTCCTGTGGGAGACTAGCACCCACGGGTCCTAAGAGCTTTATTAGTGCAAGGGGCCTGTGCACTTTCCCCTCCCTTGTGGAGTTTCCATCTCCAGCACAGGTCTGTCAGGTCCACTTGGAAACCGGCGGGTTCCTCAGTTACTCTAATAATCCCAGTGCCGGAGCCAGGCCATCTGCTGGCCGGGCTGCTTTCCGGGAAGCTTAATTGCTGGTCAGGTTCTATTAAGAACTGACTCTGTTGTTCTACGGCAGTTTCTTCTGCCTTCCAGAGTTCTAGATAGTCCAGCTCTTTTCTATCATGTACTTAAAGCTCCTCAGGTTGGACTATTTCGTGGCAGCCAAAGTCAGAAAACACATCCCCATCTCAGAGTGACTCTTCACATTTCTCTTTAGCCTTGTGGCTCAAGAGCCCGGGGACCTGTACGGCATATGACACCAAGCCTCCCGGGTGGGTCATGAGCCCTGCACAGACACTGATGATGTCATTTGTCATCTCTTCCCGGTGGGAAGGTGACTACATGGGGTTCTTTTTACAAAAGATATTGCATTGTTGGTAAAGTAGAGGATTCATTGCCTCTATAGATATTTCCCCTGTTATTTCATCGTTTGGGATATTTTATGACTGACAGAATGACTTTGTGTTCTCCATCAGAAATCAATGGCTTGAACACCTGCCAGGAAGTTAATGGTGTGGAACGTGCTGCCCCAGAGACTTTCCCTCAAGATGTTTTCGCTAATGGACTTAAACCAGTTGGGGGACTTGTTCACCTGGACGCCCTTGATGGGAAATCAAACAGTCTGGATGATTCAACCGAAGAAGTTCAGTCTATGGATGTGAGGTAGGTCCACTGCTTTTGCATTTGAGCCTCATCTCTTCCCCAGATACCTCTACCACCTCTTAGTTGATTTCTTCATCTTTTCCACACCCAAATCTTTCTACACACCTATAGTAGATACGGTTGCCGTTCAGGAAAGCTAACAGTGGTAAATTAATATCCATGTTTTGGGTTGAGTTCCCTAGAAACAGAGCCTGGAACAGGGATTCTAGGGCATGGGATTTATCAGAAGAGAGTTCTCGGGAGAAAGGGAAGGGAGGGAAGCAGGATTGGGCAGGGGGAGTCACTAAGCAAGGATCTGGTCTCAGCTGGTCCCAGTGGAACTCTGGAGGATGGATTTCCACCAGAGAGGGCTCTGACTGCGGTAAGGGAGGCGGCCTTCATGGCACTGTGTTTGTCAGCCATCGACTGTGGAGCACCCAGGGTGGGGATGCTCCCATCAGCCAAAGGCAGTTGTCCAGAGGAAGGGCAGCAGCTGTGAGCCCATAGCAGCTAGGGGGTGGGTGCAACCACAGGCAAAGGGGATCTGGGTGGGGCACCAAAAGGGCCCACTCACTGTGTCCAGTGTCTCATGTTTAAGTAAACTTGTCATTGGAAACTTGATAAAGGAACTAATTTGCTTTCAGATCCTAACAACTTAAGGAATTCTTAACTGGTATATGTTTGTGGATAACATTGCCTGGCGAATTAATCCTGGACCAAAGGAGGGCTCAGTTAGCCCGGGGTTGGGGCAGAGGCGCTGGAACAATGCAGTGCAGGGCAGTTGGGCTGGGGGTCCTCTCTGTGACAGGAGGGAATGCCAGTATTCTGTACAAGCTCTGCCAGAGCTCCAGCCTGCCAGAGCTTACACTTATCTCCTTGCCTGTGAATACTCAGCCTCAGTCTGGGGGGAGGCAGGTGGGGAGCAGAGCCTTTCCCAGGGCACACTGACTGTAAATATCCCAGCTCGTGCACCCTGGCCTTGAGCCAGATATGGGAAAACCCAGGGTCCAGCCGCCCTGTCACCAGGAGAGCGAGTCCTGCGCAGCCTGAGAGTACGGCCTCCTCAGGCCTTGCCACCACCCGCCACCGTCATGGCAGACTTCCTGTAAGTGGTGCCACTCTGCCCCCGGGGGGGCAGGGAACTGCTGGGGCATCTTAAAGGATAACACAATACCTCCCGCCGCCATGTCGAGGCAGTTGTGCTTATTCTTTCTGCCTCTGGGGGGGGGGGGCGGGACGAGACCTGGCACTGGCCATGGCTCAAGGAAGTGAAGGAGCTTTGTGTGTGCACTGCGTTCTTGGTGTGGCCACCTCTGCATTGGAGAATGGTGACTCCTGGGGGCAGCGCCCAAGCTTGTGGCGCCATTCTGTCCTCCGCCTGCTCTGACCAGCTGTTCAAACCCTGGGAATGGAGGTGGGCAAGGCGGAGATGGGGCGGGTGTTCCCACTAATGAAGCAGTTTGCCCAGGCTCCGGGCCACCAGAAGTGGCGTCAGGTCAGCTGCTGCCCCTTAACTAGGCTCAGTGTGAGGGAGACACATCATCTGAGCTTCTGCAGTTCAACTCGTTTTTCTAGATTCTTCTCTAAGCTCTTACGGAGGAAGAAAAAAACCCAGACAAACCTGACAGCAGCCCTACTCTGGCTGTTCCGAGAGACTCCTGGTGAGGGGACCTCAGATCCCAGCCCACCACTTATCTGAGCTCGGCCTCTGGTTGACAGGCTACGAAACTTCCTCCTTCCACCTCTAGGGAGAGGAGAGAGAGAGAGAGAGACAAGGCCCGCGGTGTTGGGGGGGAGGGGGAGGGGCGGGGGAGTGGAAGTCTCACTTTAGCGAGGGTGCTGTGGGAGAGATCGGCTCTGCAGGTGGCCGGGTGGGTGGCGGGGGTCCTTGCTAACGACGTTCCGGGCCTGAGCATGGCCTCCAGGTGGCTCCGGCAAAGTCTTCCCCACGTGGTCGCCTGGGGGGAGAAACGCTTGTTGATTGCATTTTGCAGCGGAGGAAAGTGAGGTCTGGGGAGGGAAAGCTGCTCCCCAGAGGCGGTGCTGCTATAGAGAGAGGCTGCACCAAGGCACCCCGTGGTGATTAGACACCCCCCCGCCCCACCCCCACCCCACCCCACCCCCGCCCCCCCCACCCCCCCCCCCCCCCCCACCCCCCACCCCCCCGCCCTTCAGCTCACTTTCAGCTTCTGGCATTGGCCCTGTTTGCGTTTCCCATTTTAAGGGTTTCGGAAGTGCTTGGCTTCTCTGTAGTAGTGCGCTGGTGCCTGCGGGTTTTTACTTTCTTCCCATGGGCAGCGTGAGCTTGGCCTTCGCAGCCCTGCTCAATCTGAAACCACACACCTCAGATGGGACTTGAACCCACGAGCTGGGACTCAAACCCACTGTCTTTTAATTGAAATCGCACACCTGGTCTCAGGACTTAATGAAGCTCAGGTTCTTTATGTCTCAGCGCAGAAGGAATTCAGCGAGAGGCAAAGTGATAGGCAAGAAGTAGATTTATTAATATAGAATGCTTGTGAGGGATACAAGTGGGCAGACAAGGGGGCTCTGCCCCAAGAAGTAAGTGGGAAAGCCAGTTTATTTAGGGAGATACACACTCCAGAGACAGAGTGCAGGCCATCTCAGAAGGTGAGAGGCCCTGGGAGATGCACGTTCCATAGACAGAATACGGTCAGTCTCAAAAGGCGAGAGTGACCCTGAAATATGGCGTGGTTGGTTTTTATGGGCTGGGTAATTTCATTCGCTAACAAGTGTGAGGATTATTCCAACTCTTTTGGAGAGGGGGCGGGGATTTCCAGGAATTGGGCCACTGCCTACTTTTTGGCCTTTTATGGTCAGCCTCGGAACTCTCATGGCGCCTGTGGGTTGTCCTTTAGCATATGCTAATGTATTATAATGAGGGTATAATGAGGCTCAGGGTCTAAGGGAAGTCGAATCTTCCACCATCTTGGGTCTGATCGGTTCTAACCAGTTTTTGTATCCTCAAAGGCTATGTCATTGTTTTAAAGGTTGTGCCCTGCCCCCTTCCCTCCTGTCTCAAATCCGCTTCCCTTCTGTCAGTGTCTCAGATTTAAACTAACTTGTATCTTTTATAATGTGTTACACACAAGCTCTGGCTCTAAATCCGTCTTCTCTAGAAAAGAAGAGTAGTATAACAAAATATGACAAATAGAATTAATAGTTTGTCTATCTCTCCATCTCTCTCTCTCCCTCCCTCTCTCCCCCTCCCCCTCCAGTCCTGTTTCAAAAGAAGAGCTTATCTCTATCCCAGAATTTTCACCAGTGAGTGAAATGATTCCTGGGGTATCTCTGGACCAAAATGGAACTGGTAATGCCCGAGCACTTCAAGATCTCTTAGATTTCACTGGCCCCCCCATTTTCCCCAAGAGATCCAGTGAAAATCTCAGCCTGGATGACTGTAACAAAAACCTGATCGAAGGATTTAACAGTCCTGGCCAAGAAAATACTCTGAACACCTTCTGTTGACAAATACAACATCTCTTTAATGAAAGGTACAGTCTTTTGATGATAGTCTAAATCTGTAACTCTCCAGCTGGGGTTTGTGAAGGTGAGGTAAACGTCACTCAGCCTCCTAGTCAGTTTTATTTTTACAAAAAGCAAACAAATGTGGACTCATGGTATGTACAAGAACTGAGATGGATTTCAAGTGAATCCTCATCTGAGAGCTTTCTGCGCCACCGCAGCGTGCCCACCCCTGCTGTTCGGGGCCGGGGGGTGGTGCGTGTAGAAGCACTGGCTAAAGGTTTGACCAGCCATCTGTCTCAAGTAGCAACTTTTTACAGACAATGAGAGAATGCTGTAATAGTGGTGCAAAGTAGTGTTAATAAAATGAATTTCCCCCCTGGTTTTATTCAGTGACATCCCACACCCTATCTAGAATCACTTGTATACATTGGTGAGTGTTGGGCTAAATGGTTTGCTGTCCTGTTGACTTCCTCTGTTCTTGGATCATACCTGAAGGAGTAAGGGGGGGAAGAACTGAAGTTTGTGCCCTGAAGCGTTCCCCGCCTTTGGCCTTTTTTTCTTGCCGAAGTGCTTCTAGAAGCTTCTTGTTTGAGTAAGATATATCTATGGGTTATAAACACTGGATTTGTGTGTACTTAGTTATACTCACCACACATTGGATTTACTTCAGTTTGGGGCTTTTTTTTTTTTTTTTTGCGGTACGCGGGCTTCTCACTGCTGTGGCCTCTCCCGTTGCGGAGCACAGGCTCTGGACGCGCAGGCTCAGCGGCCGTGACTCACGGGCCCAGCCGCTCCGCGGCATGTGGGATCCTCCCGGACCGGGGCACGAACCCGTGTCCCCTGCATCGGCAGGCGGACTCTCAACCACTGCGCCACCCGGGAAGCCCGGGGCTTATTTTTGAATGATGAAAAACATAATTAGAATCTGTCATCAAATACTTTCATAACTTAATTCCAATTGCTCCTCCCATTTTAGACTGAAATTTTTCTATTCTCAGCCACCTTATTTTTTATGATATTCCACTCCTATAACAGAACTTCAATAACTGATATGATTTAGTCCAACCTTTCTATTTCTCAAATGAGGAAACAGGTTGGGGAGGCCACACGGCCGAGGTCACAGTGTCTCGCATACTTATTTCTACCTGACCTCAGCTGTTGGCTGTAGACAGTGCATTTTGGAGTTTGCTTCTCTTGGCCCTTGGGGAAGCGGTTGTGGTCCTTTCACACATGAGAGGGAATGCGTGACAGGCAGTTTTTAGAATAAACCATATCCCTGGTTTGGAAGAGCAGCTGCCTTCTTGGACACTTTAAAAAATTCACCTGAGCATTCTCTTTCCCTGACAGTTACATGGATTAATATTTAGCAAGAGATTTCTCTTGTTATTAGCATACCTTGCACCCTTCGGTTCACTGACCTCGCTATCAGTTAAGGACCAGAAAATCCACAAAACTTAGAAGAGTGTTCATGGCTTCTCAAATCTATTTCCTACATTTCTAACTAAAAGAAGTGCAAAATCCTTGTCCAAAAAAAATCTTGGCTAAATAATTGTTTTCATACTGCTTGTATATTTTCATCTGTCATATAATTCTAGTTATCAAATTCTTCTCAGCCAGAGGTGGCAACGCCCCTGCTGGAAATGTGTTTGGAAAGGTGTTGGGGGTGGCTGTCACAGTGGCTGGAGGCAGCACTGGGATTTGTGACATTAAACGTCCTGCAGGTTTTAGGACAGTCCCGCGAAAGAAAATTTGATCCCCTAAAAGAATAGTCCTACACAAAATGCTGCAGCACTTCCGTTGAGAGACTCTATAAGCCAAGGAAAATGCAATTACCAAGAAGGTAGAAAGTCCCACACTGCGATCATTTCAGTGAGAGAGAATAGATGCTACAACTTGCAAAATACTGTCTCTCCATTGGTTTCACCCGATTTTGGTTTTGAATTGCCACAGGTGGCGTTTGGAGAACCCATGAAGCTGCTGGTAGTCAAATCTGAGCTGCCGGCCCTCTGAAGAAGCTTCTGTCGTCCTTAACCGCTGGATTCCAAACTATTAAATCAAAATGTAACTGTATTCCTACTTAGTATGTCAAACGCTGGCCACTCTCAGTAGATCCTTGAGACGTTGGCCTTGTCGGGCTTTAGCAGAGTTCCATGTTACATTTCTATTTATGAGCTTCAGCTGCTGATAAAGCACTTCCTGTACTCTTATTATCATAGTGATCCTCTGAATAACCCGTGTGATTTCGGCTTGGAAAGTCACCTTATAACCATTCTTATCCCCAGACTTGGAGCATATAAACATTTAGATGTCTTTTCTTGTAAATATTCTAGACATTTACCCAGACTCTACTTAAACATATACTGAAAACTTGGGTTGCATATCTCCCTGTCTGTGTTTAGAAGGAGAAGAAATTCTGGAACATTTCCCCCATCTCTGGGGTTTCTTTGTTGGAAGTTACTATCAAGAAGCCGTGTTTTATTATTAAACTTAGTCACCTGCAAAATATGTTGCCTCCCATTGCTCCTTGGGCGGCTAGTGGAGTGAGTCTGGCTGAGCAAGGGAGCCATTGAACAGCGTGGAAGGCCGTCTGCTCCCTTAGGCATATTCCTCCAGACTTGGGCATCTGAATCTCCAAGGACCTTTTCATGTTGTACCTGAAATCCTCCAAGCTGTAGTCACTCCAGACCCTCAAGTGGCTTCTGGACTGAATGAATCGTGCACCTCCTGCCCAGGTGGTTGCTTTTCATGTTGTAGCTGTTATTTTTCTCTTGGGTCTTGGGGCTTTTGTTTGTTTGTTTACTCAACTCTAATAAAACCAGGTACAAATGAAAAGCATAGTGCTCTGAGACAGGGGCCCCTGAACTGGACCTAATATGTCACTTTAACAGGCTTGAACATAAAAACATCTGGGCGGGGGACAAATGACGGTAGAATGTATACTTTACACGTTTTGTGCCATATAATAATGTGTTTTCTTCATTTCTTGTGGTGAAATGTGACTTTCAGATTAAAATAACCTTTTCTTCTTTGAAACCTTTTTTTTTTGTCTTGTACAATAAAGAGTTTGGAAAGATCCATAATTCTGACTGAGGTTTGCAACCAGGAGATACAAAAAAGTCTCCATAGTAATCTTGTTCATGTGCTCTTAAAACCAGCTACAGTGTAAGACTGTATTAGGTATGGAAACTGTGTACGTTTGTGTATGTGTATATACTAAATAAAATACATGCCTCCAATAATACAGTGCCATAGATCTTGATGAATATCGGGGGAAAATCCCTTTTATGACAAGCACATAGAAAATGATAGCATGGTCTGACTTTCCAAAAAACGCCTTGCCATCTTTCTTATAGCCCTGTTTTGCTAAATGTCTGTTTTCTTGCAATCTGTTGTACCTCACAGCACCATTGTGATCCTGGTGATGCCTCATTTGCACGATGTGTACCTTGTGTTACCGTGAAATACATTTTCATTGAAGAGTCTGATGGTGTGTTAGTGCTTTGTTTGCTTCTGTAGGCTCGATAAAAAAAATGTGCTGAAACCAAACCAGATACCAGATTTTTGAAAACCTATTTGGAAAAAAAAATTAAAAATCCTGTGTGGGTGTCCTTTCCCTGTCTAACTCATTAAAATTCCTCTATTGCCAGTTCCAAGTGAAACCAACTGTGGAAATAAGCTTCAGTGATGAGCTGTCCCAGGACATGATGAACTTGTAAGTATAGTAAAGTTGCTGTACTTTCATACCACTGATGCGAGGGATTGCTAGCTAGCTAAGATGCAGTTAACCTTAGTGTAATCTCCAAAAACATTCCATAGAGCAATCTGGCATTTCAACAAAATTATAATGGGAATGGTGACCCCTGTTTTCCAGTAAGCTGAAACCCACACCAACTTTCTTTTTGTATCTAAATCATGGCCTGTCTACTGCCTGGGAGACAATACCAGCCAAGACCAGGAGACAGGAGGGCCAGGACTGGAATGGGGATGTCGGATCCTTGTGGTAACTGCTGGGCTGCCACCTCGAAAGCCGAGGGCCCAGTTAACGCAGCTCTCCCCAGCTCTGATGACAAAGCCTCTGGTGAGGGCACACGAGTGGACATCCTCATTTTTTCCATGTGCTGGCCTTTGACAGCAGCATTATAAGTAGCTTCTGTCATCATGAGCTCTGGCCAGAGGGTCGTAGTGATGTCTAGTCACTCCTAAGAGCAATTTCTACTTTGTGAACATTCTAAATTTTTCTTAATATATGCAGGTTTCCTATTAGTCAAGTGCTTTTGCAATTTTTTTTCATTTGGAAAGCAAGTGTAAAGAACTAGCTTGTTTCTAGAGTTGTTATACCCATCCCCACTCTTGAGCATCACTCAGGAAGCACAATTATATAAGAAAATGGAGCGAGAGCTCTTAGGAACATTAGAAAAGAGAAAACTTTACAGATAGTCTTTTTGTGGGGAATCCATGAGAAACAACTGGGGAACTCAGAATAGTTCCACAGGGGAGCTAACCACTAAGTGAAGAAAAATCAATAGTTTTCTTACACATTAAAAGTAAACAGAAAAATGGATCCTAAAAAACTCATAAAATTCCTAGAAAGAACAAGCTTCGTCTAAAACTTGACCAGGGGACATTAGAATAAATGTAAATGGAAAGACATGCCATGCCCCCTGAATGGGAAAACCTACACACCCGAAGAAGAGTAGGTGACCCACCCTCACATTTGTGTAAATTAAATGAAGTTCCACTCCATGGGATTTCTGTTTTGCAACTTGAAAATATAACTGTACAGGGAATTCCCTGGCAGTCCAGTGGTTAGACTCAGTGCTTTCACTGCTGAGGGCCCAAGTTTGATCCCTGGTCAGGGAACTAAGATCCCAAAAGCTGTGCTGCGTGACCAAAAAAAAAAAAAAAAAAAGATGTAATTGTACAGTTCATGTAAGAAAATGAATACAAAGCTAAGAAACTTCTAGAGTGAGTTTTTTAAAAGGGAGGCTTCCCCCAACAAACAGTCAAATATATGGTAAAACTTCCATAATTAAAACAGTATAGTGTTTTTTTTTTGGCCTTGCCCCGCAGCTTGCGGGATCTCAGTTCCCCGACCAGGGATTGAACCCAGGCCACGGCAGTGAAAGCACGGAATCCTAACCATTAGGCCACGAGGGAACTCCCTAAAACAGTGTAGTCTGATAGAGAAATAGAATTTGGAATAGAAATAGAGATCAGTGACACATCCAAGAGAGGTGAGAATTTAGTGCATGATGGGACCGGGGTGGGTTGATCATTTGTTCCTGGAGAGAGAGAGCACGTGGTTTAGTGTCTCCTGAGGGTCAGCCAAGTTCAGTGTCTCTGATGGGCTGGGGATAAGGACCCAGAAGTTAGTGAGGAAATGGTAAAGTCAGGAGCAGGGTCCAAGGTGTGGGTGCCAATTATGGTTCAGGGTTTAAGTCGGGGAAATTTAGACACGAGGCTTGGAAATTTAGACACGAGCCTCCAAAGACCTCCAACTGATGCCTCCCCCTCCTCGGGATATGCTGTGATCTCAGGAGGTGGGAAGCAGTGGCCTCTACTCGCCATGGTTTAAGCTTCTCCTGCAGGAATGAACCTTAACAGTCAGCACGTCCTGAGATCCTGCTGTACGCGAGGTGGTCCTGAGACTTGTCCAGGATGTGAGGTAGGTAGGAGAGGGTTACTTTCCCAAGGACACACAGCTGGAACTTGGCAGAGCTGGGGTTGACCCTGGGGCCACAGTTTTGGTGCCCCAGGGGAGCTGACAGGCTCTCCTGCCCCTGAGAGCAGAAGTGTTTTGCTAGAGCAGGTGCTTATAGTGGAGAAGGGCCAGAAGCCCCATGGAGAATTGTAGTTCTGATTCTTTTTATTTAAAAAAACTATTGAGATATCATTCACATACCATAAAAATTCCTTCCTTTTAAAGTATACAACTCTGTCTTTGATTTCTTCACAGTCATGCAACCATCACCACTATCTAATTCTAGAACCTTTTCATCTGAGCTCACTTTTGCAAGGGTTATTATCCATATGTCTACTCACAGCAGCAGAGCTTGGCTTTACTGTTGGTTCAAGTTCCCATCGTACCTGGAAGCAAGACCATGGGATTTGAAAATAGTATCCCCTAAACCACTTGCTCCCCTTTTCCCCCTAGCCTCCAACAGGCCAAATTAGGGTGGTGTTTATCTAACTCAGTCCATGCCGGCTGTTTTGTGTTGTTTCACATTCTGTGTGCATAAATACTGGATCAGATGCCAAACATGGGCTTTCTATCAGATGCCCAACGTGGGCCTTTTAGGCCGATGAGAGACATGGAGTGGTGAGCGCCTTCAGCTCCGTGGTAAGTAAGTGAGAAGTTTCTGTGCAGTAGTTAGGAAATGCCAAGTTTCATTCTTCTGGTTGGCCCTGAGGGATGGTTGAGTGCTAGGGGCAAGGTCTAAAGCAGCCAGCCTTCTGGACTTCCAAGAAAGCATTAAGGCAAGCTTTCCCCATCTCACGAAATGCAAAACGTAAGGAATAGAGTCCCAAGGAATTAAACTTTTGCTTAAAGGAACTTTTGTTTTCGAATCAGAGCCCACAGCTCTCTGTTGGTTGTACTTGTCTTTGAACCGCATTTTCCTAGTAGCGTGTGCAGGCTTATCTTTGAGACAGTCAGAAAGTTGTCACTACAGAGGTGATAGCTAGGAAGGCACTAGGTCCTGCACAGTAGATGTTCGAAGAGCTTGTGGGGTTGAATGCAGCCCCCGCAGTGGGTCTTCATGGTTGTTTTAGAACAAACTGAATCTTGCTGGCATCACTGGGAGGAAAGAAGCGACTCCCATTTGCTCAGTGGAACTGGCCTTCTGGAAGCTTCTCAGGGGCCACCCCTGTATGGTGACAGCTCCGATGGCTGGTATGCGGTGTTCAATGTTTACCAATGGTAAGAAATTATCCAGAACGTGGAAATAAGGCCGAAAGATAACAGTGTGCCCTTACAAAGCCCTGTGACAGCATGGTCTCAACAAAGCAGCCCAAGGGGCCACTGAGTCTCAGGGGATGTGACTTCCTATGACTGCCTGTGTGCTGTGACCTAGAGCCCAGTCTCCAGAGTTATTCACTTGTAGACAGAAAGTTGCGGATGACTTTTGTCCTATAGAAAAGCTACCTCCACAGGTTATTCCTGTTTGTCCCTGTAGAGCCCTAAGCAATTTTGTATCTAACTTTGCAGTCTTCTCCAGCATTCTTTGCTCCACTAAGTATATGTGTGTGTTGCTGTGTGTATACTTACATCCAAGTGTGTGTCACAATCGGTTCTGTATCCTCCCTTGATCCGGCTTTGTTATCCTGCTCGTTAATGAGTTAAACACAGTCGGGGAGGAAGAAAATTTACCTCTACCCTTAACAGCTTCTTCTGGCTGATCTAAGAATTAAATCGACGTGAGACAGACTAACAGGAGAAGGTCAAATTTAATTTCATCTATATGGGAACTCCACATACATGAGAGGGTCAGAGACCCCACATTTATGAAAGGTTCGAAGACAGAAAGGTAAACTGAGGTCCCTGTGCCATCCGAGCTGAGGAGTGGGATAGCGGCTGGGGGCTTCCCAGGACAGGAGCGTCGCCCAAAGAATGATAAGAAGAGCAGCTGTTCGGTATCAATAATTAGATGTTTGTCCTGCCATATAGATGGAGGCACTTAGATAAAATTTATTTCTGCTAATAACTCTTTTCTGGTCAAGAGAAAACAGCAACAATTTAAATTCTTCTAGGTAGTCAAAGGAGGGCAGTAGTTTCTCTTGAATCCGCAGGGTCTCAGTGACCTTTAGCTGAAGATAATCCTCATGCGAATGTGGCACATTTGGGGGAGGCTCGCTCTGAACCTCAACAACACATTTTTGCCACCTGCTCACCGTACATTTACATCGCAATTAGGCTTTTAACCTTTGCGAAGTTGTACTTTGACAGTGAGGATGCCTTAAGTCCTCAGCAAGCTTTGGGAAAGTTTAAGCAGCTGCTCTAATGGCTTTAAAGGTTCATATTAAATGCTAGTGTCACGGATGTCATGGTGTGCCACCTACACGGCCCTCCCTTTTAGGACTGAGGTGTTTGTCTTTCTGGATGTCTCCTTCCAGATGCTGGAGGTACAGTTTGCTGAGGTTTGTTGGTGGAGTTCCTTTCTAAGAATTGCCCTTGACTGAAGGAGGCTGCCTCACCAAGGTTAAATCCCCTCACTTGGACAGCCTATGGATAGGCTGGATCCTGACTGGATTGCTCAGGTATATGAAGACCCTTGCCTAAAGGTAGGACAACTCAGAAGGGTTGTCCCAGCTTCAGAGCTCCCTGTGGGTTCACCCGAGGCCTTTGTTGAGAACGTATTGCAGCCCAAGTTCTGGCTGCTGCTTCCTTCACTCCCCTGCCCCCCTCCCCCAGCACTCCCCATGCCTTTCCTGTGTGCTAACTGGTCTCAGAGCCTGTTCCTGGAGAACCGGACCCGAGCCAGCTAGGCAGTGTGCTAAGAGCTTTCCACGTATTCTCTCCCTTAGCCTTCAGAAGGGCTTTCTGAGATAAGCAGTGCTGTTGCCATGTTCACTTTACCATGAGGGCCAAGACAGGTGAAGTCCCGTCATGTACAGCCAGGAAGTACACAGCTGGGCTCCAAACCCAAGGTTTCCTTTGGAGCCTGTGCTTGCCCTGGCCCACCATACTTCCAAGTTCCTGCCTGGGAAATCACACAGGCTTATCCCCTAGAGGCTCTTGCCAGTCGACACATCTCCTAGTTATATTTGCAGGTTTCCCAATTGAGCTCAACCAGCTTCCCTCACCAGCAGTTGCTGCTGATTTTGCAAATCCCTGGGCATCTTCTGCTGAGGGGATTTGGTCTGTCTATTGCTCAGTTCCAGCAGAATACCTGCACCCTCCGTCTGGGAACATGGACAGTTGGTAGGATAGTTTTTTTCCCCTCATCCAGGAGGAAAGCCGTGTCATAAATGCTCACTTATTAAGCACTTATGTGTGAATACCTACTCCCTACTCTGTGCCAAGCAGTTTGCTAAGGATGAGGATAGAGCAGAGAACGAGACCAGATATTGTCCCCGCCCTCCTGGAGCCCATAGTCTAGCAGGGAAGAGCGACAGTAGACAAATAATTTAACAAGTTCTTATTTGCAGTTGTGATGGGTGATGAGGTCAGGTTTGCTGTTATACATTTTCATATTATTACAGTTTGCGATGAGACATTTATTTATGTGATTCTTGGAGTAATGTCTTGTCTATCTCCCCCACTGTAAGCCTCCTGACAGCAGGGCTGCCATATTCCTACTACCTAACACAGGTATTCAGTAAATATTTGTAAGTGAGTAAACACAGTTGTTACTGAGAAAAGTTCTGGATTCAAATCCATGGCCTCTGATCTACATATCCTTCTGCCAGACCCACATTCTATCATGAGGTGACAGTCTCAAGGATCCTGGTTTTTGTCTTTGCATTGGATCCTCAGCACCTAGAATGGCACCTGCCACAGACGAGCCCCACAATAAATCTTTGCTGAATGAATTTTTTAAAATTGAGAATAAGTGTACTAGTTTTGATCATTCCACTATACACGACGCAAAGTAGCTTCAATATTAAGGTTATTTAGGAATCACACATAATATGTAAGAAGCTCCAAAGACAGCTAAATGACATCAGGATTCTGGGGCAGCACTTTTTTGAGTTTCTTGCCTCTTAGGAAGGCTGCTATGGCACCAGCATCCCATCCTCAATGCCACTGTGTCAAAGTTGTGAAAAAGTTAGTGGCAGGCTGCCCTTTCTACTGCTCCCTCCTTCTATCAGGGAGGAAACTCTTTCCCGGAAGCTCCCAGAAGATTTCTGCTTCTCATTGGCCAGTACTAGGTCTTACACCGACCCCTAAGCTAATCACTGGCCAAAGGGAAGGAGATGACCGTGTGTATTAGTGAAGGTAATGCTGGCTTCTATAACAACCCCACCCTACCCGCAAGATGCACAGTGTCCCAAATACAATAGAACTTTTTTCTCCCTCCTGTGAAGTCCAAAACAGATATCCTTTATTTATTTTATTTATTTATTTATTTATTTTTGTGGTACGCGGGCCTCCCACTGCTGTGGCCTCTCCCGTTGCGGAGCACGGGCTCCGGACGCGCAGGCTCATCGGCCATGGCTCATGGGCCCAGCCGCTCCGCGGCATGTGGGATCTTCCCGGACCGGGGCACGAACCCGTGTCCCCTGCATCGGCAGGGGACAACCACTGCACCATCAGGGAAGCCCCAGATATCCTTTATTACAACTCTCTTTTGAGTGGTAATTTGACTAGGCCCCTTCCATCCTGTAGCTCCCTCATCTTCCAATTTTGTCATGTTTTTCTGCATTAAGCTGACAGAATAGGGAAAGAGGATGGAGAAGACACACTGCTTTCCAACCACCCTGGCCTCTAAGGGACACGTATCATTTCCACTCACATTTCATTGATAAGAACTAGTCACGTGGCCCCACTTAGATGCAAGGGATGCTGGGAAGTATAGTCCCTGGCTGCTTTGTTTCTTACCAGGGATAGTACTATTCTGTGTAAGGGAGAGCACCAGTACTGGGTTGGCCAAAAAGTTCGTTTGGGTTTTTCCATAAGCTCTTACGGAAAAACCAGAAAAACTTTTTGGCCAACCCAATAATTTGGTGGCTAGTTAGTTGTCTCTGCTATGCCATGACTGGCTGAGACCAGAGCCGTCCAATGGAAATATAGTGGGATCCACATTTGTCATTTTCAATTTTCAAGTAGAGGGCCTGGGAAGAGAGGAGCAATAAATATTTTGACTGTATTATTATGAAATCTACCACAGGGTCCATTATGTTTTCTTTCCCTACCAGTCTAAGGGAGAGTGAAAATTGGTGTGAACATTTAAGAAGAAGTTGTGGAGTACCTAACAAATATGGAGTTAAACAAAGCAAATTTATCAGGCAGATGAAAGGTTTGAGAGCTCAGTGACTTTTGAACTGGTGTCTGGGTTGTGCCGGGACACAAAACCAGACCTGCTTATGGTAGAAAAGATATGTGAACTGAATCCATCAAGGATCTGGGCAAGAGCTTCCGGGGGAACACTAAAGATTTAAATAAGGTGAGTAATGAACTTTTAAACAATTAATCTTATTTTGCAGTAAGATTAAGTTTTAAACCTAACCTCACCATTCCTTTTTTGCCTTGCATCAATGTAGGTAGTTCACATCAATCAAAAAAAGTTTTTTTCAAAATAATTGCTGACTTGTGACACCTTGTTTTAAAACCACAAATATTGTATTGCTTTCAGACCAGGGCCAAGCTGCTTCACATATTGCATTACAAAAGAGTTCATCAGAAATAATTTATGGAACCAGAGGGCTGGTAGCAGCTACCAAATCTTGCTTAGGAATTTGTCCTCCGTCTCAGTAGGAAAACAGACATAAAGGCAGTGACTAGAATGAGCAAAAAGGCATCTGCAGCGTAAGCCTGTCTAGAAACATTTTCTTCCAAATAATATAAATCATTTCTGTCTGTGTTCCACTGTTGACAAAGCCCTTTAAAAAGTAAAGGTAAAGAAAGGACAGTGACCACAAAAAAGTGCCTGTATCATGGGATGGAAGAAAAAGAGGAGGGATCAGGGCCAGCTAAGCATTATACATCAAATCTCACTGACAGTATTGAGCAACATAGCCAAAGTCAGATACTTAAGGAAAGAGAAAATTCACCTGGTCTGTCAGTCCTGACTTATAAACACTAATGTAGATGCTGAAGCCATGACCAACACAATACAAACCATCTAGACAAAAACTATGAGAAAAATCTGGGCCAACAGCATTGTCAAGGGATGAGAAAGCTATTCGTCCTAGTTCTTCCTAATTATCTTATTCTCACATCAGCATTTAAAAAAGAAAGCTATACAGAAGGATGGCTGGAGATACATATCAGGGCAGCTGGCAGGTTTCCCCAGAAAACAGTGTCCCTCCAAAAAATGACAATAGGCACTTGATCTAAGTCTGTATCAAAGCATGATATTCATTCTCTCTCTCTCTTGCTCTCTCTTTTAATATGACTTTTTTTTTCTGGTTTAAGAATTAGTAGTTTAAAAACTACTCAATTTTATCAAGTCTCTATGTCCATCTTCTGGTTTACAGGGAATACAAGCCACAGAGAAGTGGTTCTCAAAGTTGAGCATGCTTCAGAATCTCCTGGAGGGCTTGTTGAAACTATGCTGGGCCCCACCCCCAGAATTTCTGATTCAGCTTTAAAGCAGAAGCTTTAAGATCCAATGTATGGTCCCACTGTTGCTCCTTTTCTTCTGGTATGACACCAGTAATGTCTCAGATAGCATCAATTTCTTCACCCTGGGTCCCAGACAGAAGAACCAAGCTGACCCATGATGGACTTGAAATATAAGTGAAAAATAAGCATTCGTTGCTATAAGCCACTGAGATTCGGGGTTTGTTATCATAGCGTAATTTATTCTTACTAATATAGAGCCCTTGTATTAAGCATACTTGGCATTCTAGAGCAGGTTTGGCTTTGCATGAAAATCAAAGAAAAAATAAATGGAAAGGCAGATAATATTTCATTTCTCTTAGGCCTGTTCTGCCTCTGTATGTGTGTGTGCTATTCATATACATAATCAAGAGCTATGAAACCTTATGCAAACTACTTAACCTCTCTGTCCACAGAAGCAGCATATAGGGCGAGGGCCATCTCCTTGTGCTTATTATTAACCAGTAATAAGTCTGAACAAAAATCACCTTGTTCAAAGATGAATCAAGAGAATGTATTGATATATATATATATATATATATATACACATATATATATTTTTGTATACTACATTATATATGTGTGTGTATGTATGTATATATATATATATATATTTGTGAAATACAAAACCTAATCGTGGAAGAGAAAGAAGAGCATACTTATGAAAATGAATGACTACGGAATCCAAAAGAGGAATTTTATGACCAGTTTACCATCCTTTTGCAAGAAGGTAGGCTTTCTATAAAACCAGACCAGAAATTCATAAGGAAATGAAACGGTGAGATGGAAAGTCAATAGGATGAGTTGAAAGAGAAGGATGGGGGGGGGAGAGAAGGAAATGACGGAAGGAAACAAAATTATCAGTAATAGAAATTGAGTAAAAACAGAGGCAGAAATAATGCCTTTGGAAATCTTATCGGTAACATTGAAAGCAGACTGGAGGTCTACCAGAATGCTGAAAAACGGTAAACAGATGAAAACGATAAAACAGACGTTTACCACAAATAATTGCTCTTCCTAAAAGAGAGACCAGAACAAATGGAGCAATTCTTGAAAGTAGAATGGAAGAAAACCTTCCTGAACTGAAGCAGATTAAAAGGTCCCACACCTTTTAACCAGACAGAAGGGATAATATGTGCAATGGAGTATTCATCTTAAACAGCAAACATTTCAGTATAGCCAGGGCATTGAGGGCAAAGAGGAGAGAAGTTAGAGAGGTAAGTATGAACCAGATAATCAAAGGCCTCATATACTATGCTGGGGAATTTCTCTCTGCAAAACAGGAAGCAAAAATCATGTATGAAGAGAGGGAAATGATCACTGGTATGGGGCTTAAAGAGAGTGGTAAGGGTTAGTAACAGCAATTACTGGAAATGAGAGTGGTCACATAAAAGGATTCCTAAGAGGCACCAAGGCTGTCCACTGTGGTGAGTCTCCATAAATTTGTAGTGGTATCATTCTATTATAGTTGTGTGGCTTCTTCCTCCCAAGTGGTGCTTGGAAACATAGACGTGGGTATGGAAAATGCAGATAACTGGAGTGTTTCAAGGTGGTGGTTTGATGTTGGGACGTATCAAAGGGCAATTCAAGGGGCTCTGCTTACAAGAGTGGTTGAAGTCAAAGGCCATGGGCTTCAGTCCGGTAGAAGGTTCAGGGGATGTGAGAGCTCTGTGGTTTTTGAAGAACAAGTATATTGGGACTAAGGGAGAGATAGGACTACGAGGATGAGGATTGAGTCCAAATAAATGGGGTTGGTAAACTTAAGGTTTTAGCCATGAAGCAGTATAAAGTGATGGATGTCTAGATTTTATAGAATGGGTACCTGGGAATGTGTGGATTAAGTAGAATAGAGGTAAAGTCATCTGGACCAAGGAAGTTAAGGAAACATGGTTTAGTCATGGTTGTTGGTTTCATCAGGATGATGGCAGTAATTCAGATGGAGAGGAAAACTAATGCAGTCAGTAGACGACAGTGACAAGGGAGGGTAGAAGGTCCACCAGATGGGGTGGACCCTGAAAGAGAAATCTTGCAAGGGGTAAAAAGAACATCAAAGTGTCAAGTGAGAAAGCTCCAAGAGTGAGGATATGCTACCTTTGGGGTGATGGATGGAGTGTGGGAGGAGAGAAATCAAAAGAGCAGGTAAAAATGAGTCAGTATTTTGAATTGCACGGTGGAGGGATGTTGGTACCATTAACCTATTTGGGAGGTACAGAGGGGAGGTTTTTTTTTCTGGGTACAAGCTTGATTTGAGGCCATGGGGAACAGTTAGAGATTGAGTAGGTAGGAGAGAGGCCACAGCCTTGCAGGTTCAGGTAGGCTGGCTCTGGAAGGGCTTTGAGGGACAAGCCAGGGGCTGGAAGGCTGTGGCGTATCTGCTCCGCTCATCTGCACAACGCTGGAAGGCCCACAGCACCAAGCTCCTGCCTCTGACTGAGGGGTGAACTCCGATCTCTGACCCTTAACCCCGAGGATCCATGGACCAGTACGCCCAGTGTGTTCTTTCCTTCCCGGCGGGCGGGCGGGCGGCAGATGGCGCATGCGCCCTGGACAGAGAGGCAGAGGTGGGAACGGCCGACAGAGGGCGCAGGCGCTCTTGGCCGGAGCCTCCCGGGCGGGGCAACCCTCGCTGGGAAAGAGTTGAGAGCAGAGGTCGGTGGGAAAGCGGGCTCCGCGCTGGGCAGCGGGCAGTGGGCGTGGCTAGGACAGGGGGCGGGGCGAGGCGGTTCCGGAAGGAAGTGGTTCCGGGTCCCGCGGCCCAGCTGCGGGAGCTGTGGTGCGGCTCCTGTGTGAGGCGGCGGCCGTGTGAGGGGCGAGGCCTGAGGGTTCGGCGGCGGCGGCGGCGGCGGCGGCGGCGGCTGCGGCTGCGGGAACTTCTCGGTCGGGTGAGCGGCCCTGGGGGGCGGGCGGCACGAGGAGGTCCCGGCCTGCGGGGAGGGCGTGTCCGTCGCATGGGAGGGGCGGTTCTTGGGTGGCGGGTGGGGCGGCGGGGAGGATGCGGAGGCCCAGCTCGGGATCTCGGGGGACTGCTCCCCTGCCCCTGCCTCTGGCCACCGGACCGGTGCCTTATTTTAGACGTGGCGACCCGGGCACCTGCTGCCGAGGCCCCCGATCCTCGCCCATTGTCCGCAGGCTTCTGTCCCCGGCGATTTGGAGTGTCTGTCATGGAGCCGGGGGGAGGGCGGGGCGGTGTCCAGGGACGGTGCCCTTTTCCCAGAGGCGGCTCCGGACGCATCGCCTGCGGGACCCGAGCCGAGGAGCCCCCGCTTTGTCCTTCTCCGGAGGCTCTCCTGCCGCGCAGCGGCATCTTCTCCGGTAACGTCCAGAATGAGTAGTGAAGGCTGCTCTTTATCCTGCATTGTAAAGTAAAACTTGTCTTTTTAGAAACGTATGCTGAAAATTGGCGCATCTCCTGTGCTTCTTTAGGGTGTATTAGGAAACTGGGCCGGCCACTGTCAGGATTGTCCTGTCGGTAGGTCGGGAGGGAAAGAAACGTGAGAGAAACTTATCCTCCCAAATATTTTCCTGCCGAGGTGCTTTTCGAGCTGCCTCTTAGGTGACTGCTTTTCTTTTCTGGAACAAAGTAAAAACTACAGGTAGAAATCAAGAAAGTCTCTCATACTTCTGGCCAGGCAACCTTTTTAACGTTTTTCTGTATGCGAACTGGTACGAATGAAAGACTGGAATTTGAAAAGAAAAGGTTTTGATGTGGATTCATGGTGAGTGCTTTATTTTTCAATGGTGTTTTAATGATAACGGTATAGAATGCTTTATTTTTTCATGTGGTATTTTTTAAAATGGCTGCTAAAATGTTCATTTGAAAGCCCTGCCCTTGCACACCCTCCCCAGAAGCCTTTAAAATGTCTGATTAGAAACATTTAGTCATATTTATATACAAAATGTCTAAAATATGCAAAACCACGGTGAAGAAGGTGCACACTTTCACCATTCAAGTATCCATTGTGAATATAGTTACACTGAGGATGCCCTTCCAGTCTTTTTCCATGCAGAGACGAATGCATGAATTTTTCTAAAGTGGATTCTTTTTGGTAACTGTTTTTCTTTTCCTGGCTACGTAGCATGCCATTATTTGGCTGCAGTAATTTATTTAGTTGGTTTTTTTATTCTCAGTTTTTCACTACTTAAACACATTGTTGGTGAATTGTAAAACGTGCATGTCCATGATTACTTCCTTAGTGTACATTCCTAGATGATAGAATTGTTGGGTTTTTTAATGTGAATTTCCCTCTGGAAAGCATGTGCTATTTTGCACTCCCACCAACAATCTGTGAGTGTCCTTTTCCCCACCCTAGCAAAAGGCAACATTTAAAGGATTTCTATAAGAACACTTTGGGGCCACTTATATTCTTCTCCAACCAAGTACAGGTATCCTTCTCTGGCTATCACCTCTTTTTTTTTTTTTTTCCTTCTTATTTGTTGATGGCAATTTGGTTTCTCATCTTCTATTTCACCTTTACCAGTTTAGTAAAGAAGGGTTATCTAAGTGGGGCAAAGGCATTATAAAGTGAACAGATTTGAAGTCAGGGCTTCCTTGAATTCCAGTATATCTGATTACCTTGAACATGTCACTTACCTTTTCTAAGGGACTATTTCCTCAACTCTGAATTAGAGATTATAGTGCCTTTGCCTTACCTTTCTTACAGGGTGATTTTAAGGGTCAAATGAGACATCTATGGAGAGTATATTTAAACATACTTTGTCTCATTGCTAATTATTGCCATCTTGTAAAAATTTCAGAGCACATAAGCATCTTGATTTTTTAATGTAAATTTCTGAATTCAGAAAGCTGTTCTGGGCTTCCCTGGTGGCGCAGTGATTGAGAGTCCGCCTGCCGATTCAGGGGACACGGGTTCGTGCCCCGGTCCGGGAAGATCCCACGTGCCACGGAGCGGCTGGGCCCGTGAGCCATGGCCGCTGAGCCTGCGCGTCCGGAGCCTGTGCTCAGCAACGGGAGAGGCCACAACAGTGAGAGTCCCGCGTACCACACACACAAAAAAAGCTGTTCTGTGATACCCTTTGCCCCCACTCTTTCACCCCTTAAATTTGAAGTATTATAATGCTGCCCTAGATTATATTGAAAATGATATCAGAGTTATG